GGCTACGGCTACGGCTTCGGCTTCGGCTTCGGCTTCGGCTTCGGATTCGGATTCGGATTCGGATTCGGATTTGGATATCCGCATATATGTGCGGATATCCGCATTTGTAACGGATATTTTCCAATCCGTAGGGTGGACGATTGTTCTTCTTCAACACTGGCTGCTATATATATGTGCAGCAGCTGTTGAAGAAAGATACACACAACACACAAGACACAAACTGAAATCGCTCAACAGATTTGGCTATACATTGCACTCCTTCCTCTCAGCATTTTCATACGATTTTCTGAGTTTCTACTCCCTCGTTCTGCATTGTTTTTAACTTCAAACAAAGCAACTGTAAGTGTGATTTGCTACCGAACTTTGTGTTCGCTTAAACACTGGGGTTTGAAGTACCGCTACACCAATGTGTGATTCGTTCTATCCTGGGAGGAAATAATCCATTACCTTGGGTACTAGGAGGGGATTAAATTCCTTAAGGAAACACTGTGAATTCAGTGGGCTCGAATTATTTATTGTTTCATTACGATAACTTATATTTTGCAGAATTATTATTTACAAATACAGCAATATTGGCGGGACTAACAATCAATAGCAAAATATTTTATTTCTTCTTTCTTTATTCTTAAAGAAGTTGCACTGTGCTGTATAATTGCTTTTTGTTCTCTTCTATAATTGTTTTTTTCATTAAAAATATTGGCAAATTTCAGGGGATATATATGCTACAAATTCAAAGTTTTCATGAGGTTTTCACTTTTCTGAATGTAAGTTATTTATTGCAAGGGACTAAAAAGACGAGAATGTAATAGGTGGTTGAAGTTAGTCATTAGAACGACTATGTTGATGTGCATAGTGTCTAAAAGAATATTAACCATTAGATATCATAGTTGATAGGTGGCAAAAAATCAAAAGTTGTACCGAACAAAATTGGAGCAAAATATATTGGAGGGGATCTCAACCCAATAATTAGTATACCAGTGTACTTTTATTTAACAAATCTCTATGGATACTTTGTTTGAGTATGTTAAATAATATTTTTAATATCCATCATATAACGTGTAGTATATTGTAATTACTATTGAATTATGTTATACTTTATTTGAATACGTTAAATGATTGAAAAGTTAAATGGTATATATTCCCAAAAGTTTTGGTATATGATAAAGTATACCATGATTACTGTTGAATTATGTTATACTTTGTATAGGTACGTTAAATAGTATTCCCGATAGTTTGCGTATACTATATTGTATACCATGAATACTGTTGAATTATGGTATACTTTGTTTGAGTATGTTAAATGCTATTCTCAATATCTAAATATACTATATAGTATATCATGATTATCATGGAATACTTTATTTGCGTATGTTAAATGGTATACTTAATATTTATGGTATACTATACATTGATATATCATAATTAGTGTTGATTCATGATATACTTTGTTTGAGTATGTTAAGTGATATGCCCAAAATATTGGTCGATTTAACTATAAAGAACAAAAAAAGTGACAAATAGTTTATTACAAAAAACCTTTAAAAAAAAATTAAAATTTAAAAACTCAAAAAAGTAACTTTGTAACTCTCGGTAATTATAATCGATTAATAATTGTATAGAAAGTATCCCAATACTAATTTTACGACTCGATTATTTGTCTAGAAAGAACAAAAATAAAAATAAAAGTGAAATAAAGTGATAAAAATTTTGGCAGAGCAATTTTACTGAATCAAATAATAGAAAAACTAGGATAAAAATAATAATAAAAAGGGAGAAAAAGTGACAGATATTTTGGACGAAGAGTTTTTACTAAAAAGAACAAAATAAAAAAATATACAATAACAAAAGAATTAAGACAAAAAAAGTGAAAAAGTGAGGATTGTTACTAGAAAGAAAAACAATATACAAAAGAAAAAAATAAAAAAAACACTAAAAAGAGTGCAGCATTTTATTACAAAGAAAAAATTAAAGTAAAAAATAAAAATAAATGGAGAGATTTTACTGAGAAAGATAGATTTTAAAAAATATAAAAAACACAACAACAAAATCATTAAAAAAATAAGACAAAAAAAATTATAAAGTGAAAAAGAATGAGAAATTGTTATTAGAAAGAACAAAAAATAATAAAAAGAAATAACTATAAAAAAACAAATTATAAAAAAAACTGAAATAGTGTAATATTTTATTAGAAAAAAGAAATAAAGTGAAAAAATAACAACAAAATGGGAAAAAAGAAAGTAAAAAAATAAAAAAAGTGAATAAACAAAAAAAGGAAAATAAAGAAAAAGGGGATGGCTTTAGGTGGAGTTTGGGTAAATTTTCAAAAGACACATATTATGTTATTTTACAAAAAAGAGAAAATTTGGTCATAAAGTGTTTAAAAAGGGCTCTTAGTATTTTTTTTCTTTTATTTTTTCTGATCGTACCAGTTTGATATTAGACGTGATTTATTGACATTTTACTCAATTTAACGAGGCCCAACTTAGGTTGCCACCGGATCTTTACACGTGCGCATTGCAATGGCTAAGTGCACCGCTAGCCATTTTTACTAAAAACAATTACATCGAATGAGCTTTTCTAAAATCACCATTTATATTTTGACCTTGTTAAAAAACTCTTTGCAAAATAGTTCTACTGCTTGAATTTTGGAGTCGCTGCCACAATTTTGAGCCACACTATGAATTTTCCCATATGAAAAATTCTTATGATTTTCATATTTTGTGGTAAATCTTGGTGATTACTATAAGAAATTTTTTGACGATTATTATATTTTGTGGCGAATTCTAGTGATTACCATATGAAAATTTTTGACGATTGTCATAGTTTTGCAAATCCTAGTGAACACCAAATGAAATTCCTAGCGATGCCATGTTTTGTGGTAAATTCTAGTGATCACCATATGAAAAATTCCGGCGATTGTCATATTTTTGTGGCAAATTCTGATGATCGTCATACTAGAAATTCTAGCAATTGCCAGCAGGAGCTCTTCCCGAAATTATAATAGAGGCTAGTTTCCAAAGATCTTTTTTACCGGGATAAAAAAATTAATAGTGGCACCAAAGTATTTGAGTTTTGCTCCCTATTATTATTTAAGGATGTTGTTTGCCTTAAAAGATATCAACATTTGCAAAGTATTTAAAATATATCCACAACTAATTTGAACGATAAACAACGTGTCTTTTCAGTAGAGACAAGCTGGTAAAAAAGAGGATCATGATATCTAGTACACAAATAGAAAAATAGCTAGAAGTCATAGACGGTGAGTTACATACATAGAGGAGGTGGGTTCACGTAAATTTATGCTCCCTTCCCTAAGCTGTGTAGTGCACTACTACTTTTTTGATTATCTACTTATATCTTTATGTGTGAACCCATACTCAAATAACACTTTGGTACAGTGGTGATGGAGCGCACCATTGCTCACTGGGATAGGGGTTCAATCCCTAATTGTTGCCCTCTTTTCTTTTATGCTTTCTCTTACTTAGGTTATACACATTTCTCTTTCTTTTATTTTTTAACTTTTCTATCTTGGTTACCATTTTTTTTTTTGGTTATTGTTTTGAGTTTCTAAATCCTCGAAAAACAAAAATACCCACTCTCAAACACCCATTCTTTTACACCTGCTACTCAACGTCTCAAACTATCTGTTCATATTTATTTAAAATCTTATTTTGCATGGAGCATTATCTTTAGACCTAATTTCTTTTTTCTTACTTTGTCCCTTTTCTTTTATTTGGAAAGTCTACACTAAGAGGTCTAAAGTTTCATATTTGCATTACTGTATATTGCTATATGGTGTTGGAAATAATCTCTTCCCTGATGGTACAATAAATAGGGAAGATGGTGGAGGAGAAGAGACTTAGATTCTATTGACTGTGTTTGGGTTATGTCTGAGATAGACGACCAAAATATTAAAATTTTGGTCTCATTGAATGGACACATGGCGCGCACTCAACGCCTCATATCTACGGTCAAGATAAAGCCAACATCCCTCTTCTAGAAGGAGTTTAGAATAGTGTGAATACCTGTAAATAAAATTTTTTGTATTTATCTTTACTAGTCAGTTATATAGTTTGTTAGGATATAAAGGATCCTATAGTAATACACGTCAGACACATGACACTGTATATATAGAGAACACTGTACAGAGTTATTGACACAGAGAAAAAAATGGAAAAATAATTTTCCACAGCTTTTTCTTCTTGAATATTTTCATGGTATCAGAGCACTGGTAAAAACCAGTTCATTTTTTTCGATCTTCTTTTTTGAATAGCCATAGGAGAGAATGATGTTGATCCCAAAACCCCCATAGTAGTTGGTACTTCACAGATCTTTTTATCTTCTTGTCAGCAAGTTTATCCTTGCCATCCCTATTTTTTTGACATCTTCAGATAATCCAGGTGTTAACCTAATCAACGTCAATTTTGATGGAGCCAGCTATGCAAACTGGTGCACGGGAGTACTGATTTCATTGTCAGCCAAAAATAAATTAGGGTTTATCAATGGATCTTGTCCATGTCCATCTTCTGATTCTCCTTTGATTGATCAGTGGCAAAGGTGCAATGACATGGTCATTGCTTGGCTACTTAATTCCCGTAGTAGAGATATTGCAGAAAGTGTAATCTACTCACAGAAGGCTGAAGAACTTGGAATGAATTGGAGGAGAGGTATGGTCAAGCAGATGGTACCAAGTTGTTTTAACTGCAAAGAGAACTTAATAATATCAGTCAAGGAACAAGTGACATGGCAGGATATTTAACAAAGCTCAAAAGGATATGGGACCAAATGAAGGTACTCAACACTTTTATGATATACAATTGTGATTGTAAGTGTGGAGCAAAGACACACAATATTAAGATAAATGAGGATCAAAAACTGATTCAACTCCTTATGGGATTTAATGATGCTTATTCTGGTGTGAGAGCAAATATCTTGATGATGAAGCCACTACCCTCTACTGCACAGGCATATTCTATATTGATACATCAGGAATCACAAAAGGAGTTACATTCTAATTCTAGTTTTATAAATGATTCCACTGCTTTTATGACTTCTGGACAAAAGTGGAATGCACAAAGGACTACAAATAACTACAAGTCAACTAATCTCATCCATAATGCTAGAATTAAAAAGAATGATGTGTACTGCAAATACTGTAAAAAAACCTGGGCATGCTAAGGAGGAATGTTACAAATTGGTGGGATATCCACAATATTTTAAGGTAAACAAGCATAGAAGAGGGACTTTTGGGAATCAACAAGCTAACATGGCAATATCTGGAAAGGATTTAAGCTCAGGAATAGAAGGAGAAAGTGTTTTCACTTTGGTTGGAGCACAAGGATTCACCAAGGAGCAGTGTGACCAGTTGATCCAAATGTTTCAATCTCTGCAAGGAACCCATATATCTTCCTCTGAACCTATTGCAGCAGCAAATCTAGCTGGTATGCGACATGCTTTATTTTTCCTTACCTCACTTCTTTCAAACTTAACCAAAACTCCTTGGATTCTGGACAGTGGTTTTACACAGCATATGACTTTTGAAATACACTTGTTGCATGATCTAAGGGTATTTCTCACACCACTTCTAGTCAATTTTGCCAATTCTTGTAAAGTAAAAGCCTATGATGTAGGCAATATACTTCTTTCTCCAGGGATGAAACTCTCCAATGTGTTACATGTGCTTGATTTTAAGCATAATCTTTTGTCAGTAAGTCAGTTTGTTAATGATATGAATTATAATTTGTTGTTTACTAAGGCCGGATGTATTTTGCAGGCCCCTTTAATGAGGAAGGAGCCTCTCTTTGGTGAAACCACAACTGGTCTTTATGTGCTCAAGTATGACACTTCTATATTAGGAATACACTCAATTAAATCACCTGTTTCAGCTTCTTTTTCTTCTAGTAGTAGGTATAGACTGCCAGGGTCTTTGTCTTGTGTTTCTTTAGTCTGTTTGTGAAAGGACAAAGTGTCCTATCCTCTTGAGTCCTGTTTGTCCTGCAAATTCAAATGAAAACATGAATATGAATGTTTCTGTTTCAAATGATAGCATGAATGTGACTAAATCAGACAAATTGTGGCATTTTCATTTGGGACACTTACCATATGATGCTATGAAACATATTAAAGCAATACAAGTTACTTCTACAAATAACAACAAATTCCCTTGTGAAATTTGTCTTATGGCAAGACAGTCTAAATCATCATTTACCAAAAGCACAATTAGATCCAAGAATTATTTTGACTTGATACATATAGACACATGGGGACCATACAACACACCAACATATAAAGGGGAGAAGTACTTTCTAACTATGGTTGATGATTTCTCTAGAAGTACTTGGACTTTCTTGCTATCCACCAAATCTAATGCATTTCCTACTTTGAAAGCTTTCCTAACCCTTGTTGAAAGACAGTTTTCCCCCAAATTGAAAATGATCAAATCAGATAATGCTTTTGAACTAGGGACAGGACATATTCAAAAGGAGTACTACAATTCTCAGGGAATTATCTATTAGACTAGTTGTGTAGCAACCCCACAATAAAATGGGGTAGTTGAAAGAAAGCATAAATATTTGTTGGAAACTTGCAAGGCAATGATATTTCAGTCACATGTTCCTAAGAAATACTGGGGGGG